GAGTACGCCAATATTGGCGCCTTTGAAATGGAAGCGTTTTAGTTGCGCGTACACGGTATCTGGACCTATAAAATATCTTTGGCTTCAATGTTGTTAAATTGTCTTACTTTATTTTGTAACACTGGAATATTTTCGCTATAATAATATACATAGTGCTTCCAATGTTTTGTAAATAATTCCAAAAGCGCAAATAATAAACTTTGTCCATGCAATAAGATGTGTTATTTATTTTCTCGTCACTTACGTATTGAATTTTATCACGTTTCAGATAGGAAAGTATAGGTGCTTGTAGTATCAAATTTATAACTTTACAGGTTTTCCTAGCGATATGCAGAAAAACAAAAGTCAAAGAAATAATTTATTGTTCTAAGTGGCCTATAAAATTGCAGATTTGTTGAACTAACAAAATAACAATATCATAGCTTCATTTTTTATTTCTTGTAAGCCATTAAGGACTTTCTGTCTTAGATTAACAATTAATGAATGACATGAGACATGTTACACGGTTTTCATGAGAAAATTCGTGAGCGATCCACAACGTGATTCGTAAGTGCTGTATCATAAGGCATTTTCTTTATAGCGCATCGCAGACTGAGTTTTTAATTAAGTATTTTGTGATCACTGTGTTACTCTCGCCAATTTACATTCATTGCAACAACTTACCATAGTAACTACTGACAGAAGTCATCGACTGCGCAGCAAAAGAAGTACCACAAGTAAACGCACACGGCATACTTACTAGTCTTAACCTATCCGTGTCAAAGGTATTACGTTTTTATTTTTAGTTGTTAATAGGAAGGCACTGCTGCCCATTTCTTAGTTTGATTCCCTCTATCGACTCATATCACACTTCGCCTCTCCGAAACATGTTCTTCTTTGCTTGTAATAAAACTATTTTCACAGCGGAGATTGTTTTAATACACTAATTAAAACTCGTAGAATGGCTGCGATGAAATCTCTCAGCGAATCGCCTGCGTTTAATTTTATGCCACTGAAACGAGTGAGAGTTTTCAAATCTATTTTCACTTCTGTTGGTCAGAACTGCAGAACATAGAATGCCTCATAAAAGGATTAAAATAGTTGCCAAACTTCACAGGCGGTTTGGCCCATAGATAAATATATATGTAGCAAGCTAGTTTGGCCACAGCAAAATTAGGACAATGCTGCTGTCCATCTCCTGTTTTGTTTCCCTCTGTCGCCTCTTACGACACCCAAGGACCGAAATGCGGTAGTGGATATTCTTACATCACGACTACACGGACTTCGACATAGATAATAAACTAAAATTTTATTTTATCGCATTTTATTTAGTTTATTATAATGTTCATATATTTCTAGCGTTTTGCAGCAACCATTATTATTGGTTGCTGAAGTCATTGATATATTCAAAGTTTGATAGATTCAAAGTTCCGGTTAGAACAGAAACATAAAGAAAACGCAAATATTGACCGGTCATATTTGTGCACTGCAGTAACAGTTTACATTCATAATCATCACGTCAGTCTACTCAGCTTAGTCCACTGCTGTCGGCTGACTCGGGCTGATGCGTCTCAAATTACGTTTGCTTCGGTTTTTCTTGCTTCGTTGTGCTCGCCACACCATGGCACTTTTTATTTCATCAGTTGTCACTTCTACTTTGTTCCAGTTTATAAACATGGAAGGGTCTACCAATAATTTTGTTTCTTCAGCGGATTTCTTCATTTTGGTTTTATCTTATATTACCAGAGAAATAGGGGGCTTAGCTGTTTATATTGCTTGCGATAATAGTGAATTCTGTGTCCCATAGACACACATAAATAAAAATACTATATATAAAAATAAATATAAATAGACGCTATAAATAACATGAATGCCATTACTAAATTTTTTGAAATTAACCATTGCTAAAATGATGATAATTGTGTTATACTGAACCACAGTACTAAACAGTAGAACTAATTGAATTTTGTTGATACATACAAATCATAATATATAAACTGTCACGCCTGTCACCAAGAAGTGTGAGCAGAGATTACAAATTTGCATTTGGTGCTATCCTGACAAACCGCTATTGCTTCTTTGACATATATGTATATACGCATACATTATTGTCGGTTAAGGGTACCTTTCTTTTAACCCATCTGCGATATATCGCCAATTTTGTTGATAAATTTTCAAACCGCATTTCTACAGCATTAATTTTTCTTTAATTCTTTTTCTGCCATACTGAACTTGCACCACCATACATAGTTGGAATAAGACAGCATTGTGAATTGCATTCCTTTTTTAACACAATCTAACTTCCACCAGTTGAGTGAAGAGCTTGATTTACGATATCAAAGTGTCATCATGTATTCCATACCCTGCTTAGATACAGAAACTCATCCACTTGCACAATCAACTCCTCTTCTGTTCTTATTTCACAAGTCATCTTACTTTCTTCTCTTTCAAAAACCATTACTTTTGCCATACTTGCGTTCACTTTTCATTCACTATTATTTTAAGGATAATATGTTCGTTAAAGTAACAATAATTTCACAAGAGGCATTTGGCAGCTAACTCACCCATTCTTAACTTACATTCTACGCACTCTACGTCAGTTTTGAAATAATTTTCCACAAACAGATTAAATATCAACAGGGTAGCTACATAACCTTGTCAGACACCTTTATTCACAGAACACTAATACCCTTAGGCGGGCCTTTATTGTAGTCAGTCTGAGTAGGCCCCGTTGATCCCGGCAAAAGCACTAAGAATACCTTTAGAGTCGTGATTACTTATATATTACCGACACTCCATACCGACACTCTAATTAGAAAAGTATTTTTTCCAATTTTCTGAAAAGTGATTATTTTACGTCATAGTAAATTATATGAGACCATTTCGGGATATATTACAAAAAAATAAACAGTTTAAACTAACTGAAGCGGTTAAATGGTTAATGTTCCAGATACGAGGTGACATAAATAAAATATTGTGAAGATATGTCGAATTTTTGGGCTTGGTTTATTTTTTACCCGTTTGACACTTTTTATCGTAGTTCGTGTAACCCTTCACGACATAACTTGGTATTTTTGCTCGTAAAATTCACGATCGTTCCTGCGACAACGAACCGCGCGACTTTAGTGGCGCAAATTAACCGCGTGGTCAACCCAGTCCTTACGTAGTAATATATAATTCAATCTATTAAACACCCCCCTAAGTCCATAAGTCTACTCTGGCATCTTGAGAGTATGCGAGATTGTTGAAACGAAGAGTATTCCGCTTTCCAAGTCAACTTTGCTTTCGCAAAGCGTTCTGGGCAATTTATTAGAGCTTAAGTTAACAGCACTGTCGTTAAGTACTATAAGTAAATAAAAAGAAAAATGGGAGTTGGAAGCCAAAAGATCTATAACCAAATTATTAGTTACATTGAGCTACAATCCTCGTACTACAGAAAACTTAATTAAACCAAACCTTGAAATTTGAATGAACCTTTGAATTTAAATCTACTTTACTTCCATGTAGCGACGGTGTAAGAATATTCGCTACCTGTTATATATATAGTCCACTGCTGAACATAGGCCCTTCCGCAAAGTTATACGTATCAGTTATTGCGGTCACGGCGGCCAGTCTCAACAGAGTCTAGCTATCTGCGCAGAACAAGATTATAGTGAACAAGCGTGTGCGCAAGCGCAGGTACACTCTCTGCTCTCTCATTCTCATATTGCGATAGGGTGGCAATCTGACAGGACCACTAAGGGATCAGGCGCAAAAACAACGACTTAACTTGACTCTGAGGCACGGAGGTGAAACACTGCCAGCATCCTTGGATTGACTTGGGCTACTGAGAATTTCTTAACAAAAAACCCAGTAACTGGTTCTGGCCCCACCGAGATTCAAACCCACAGAGACCACGTGACAGGCGTGCTTATGATTACTAGAACAATGAGGCATACCTTGTAATCTTTTTGACTGAATATCTTGTAGCTAATGCGACAATAAATGGAAACAAGATTTATGAAGATAGATGCGGAATTTTTGCGAGAATTTGAGCGCCAGCTGATTGTTGGTTGCTTCAGTAGTCATATTGGCTTTAAATCGTTTTTAAACATAAACGTTATAGTGGTGCAAATTTGTGTAGTACATGTTCGCGCATGTGAACTATTCGTGGAAACAATGTAACAAATGTTTTGTGAACAAAATACACATTAGACTAGCCTATATGGTCTAACACCTTTGTCTGTCTAAATGGGCAGCCCGTAAGAGTAGTGACAATAACAAAAACCAAAAAAATTGATAGGGTTTTGGGGGAATTTTACCACTGGCGAATTGTGACTCGTGTATTATCGTTAATTTAATAGTTTGAGATCGTTCACAAATCATACAATTGTTATCAAATGTCCGCTGGTTCAAACTTCCACCAAAATCTCCCAAAAACTTCGCAATATGACGCATCAGCAATCACAATATGTAAAGAATTTGGTGAATAAAATATGCCTGCCTTACAATAATACCCACTAAAACAAGGAGTTTTAGTGGGTATTATTGTTTAAATAATGGTTTGGGGTGGATTTTGATATGTAAAAGTGGTGTGATTTTGTGTATTAAATGTCTGCGCATGTGAACTGTGAAACAAATGCTCTGATGGTGATGTGAATCTCAAGATAAGGTGTCTATCTGCTTAGACCCCTTGAGATACTATCCCCAACTGTCTGCTCAAGTTACCTTCAAAATCTCCCAAAAACTACGCATCAACATGTTGTGAAGCAGTGTACTATAAAGGATTATTATCACTTGATACTAAGATAAATGAAGACATGGCTTAAATACAAGCGTCCACGCCAAAAATCTTAATTAAAAAATTCGTAACATCAACAACTTAGTCTATACCAACAATAAAGAATTGATTTTGATATGTCAAGTCAAATGTCATGAATTGTCAATGTCAATGGAATGGAATACTAGAAGAAAATAATCGATTCAAATATAGCAAAATAAAGCCACCTAGCCACTAGCCATATCAATAACAAATAATAAAAATGGGTGATAAGTCAACACCTCTTTTAGCTGTTCTTCAATTACTTCGTAAATATAATTTAAAGGTAAAGGATAACAGTGTTCTCATTTTTTAATGCAAATAAACTGTACTCTTTATATTTTACTAATATTTTATTTATTTTAGGGAACTGAAGAGATACTTAGAAAAGAAGCTAGCCTGGGGGATGTTGAATATGAAAGTTTGGATTTACCGGAGGTTGAAATAGCAAGCATTCTCACAGCACATCACACTGAAAGTGATCCTTACAGTTACGAGTTTGCATATGATAGTCTCAAAAAATTTATTGAAAACTCGTTAGATATTTACAAGGTAGTATTTGAGTAATGAATATGAATAAAAAAATAATGTAGCAAGTTGATTACACCCAGTACCTATGTATTTAAAAGTAACTTATTAAGATCAATTCTTTTTCAGCATGAATTATCAACACTTTTGTATCCAGTATTTGTGCATATGTATCTTCTTTTAATTTTGTATGATCATACTGAACATGCTGTAAAGTTCTTAGAAAAATTTGGACCTGAGCAGGAGGATTATTATCAAGATGACTTAGCCAAACTATCTATTGTTAAAAGCAAAGATCAAATTAAAGGCAATGAGTTAGCTGAAATATACAGGTATATGTTTTATTTTATTTTATAAGTTGCCATGCATTATCAAAATATTATACAATTTTTTTATCTTATAATTATTGTTATACCTTATTATAGTTTTAAATTGGTAAAATAGTAAATACATTACAAACTTTATTTTCTGTGGCATCTACCCCTTCCACAAATGAACAATAGTAATGTGATATATCTCATAGTCGAATTACATTCTAATACATAATGCACCTCAAACTATTTCTAATATAGATATTTTTCATAATTTTCTTTGGTTCTTGTGTCAGTATTTTTAAAGGTTTTTCCCAAAAATGCATAAAAATTACATTTTAGCTAAAATTGATTTCCTTTGTTAAAACAAATATTTCAATGAGCTTTCATTTGATATCCTAACTATTATATTTAATCTTCATGTACACAACAATGTTTATTCAAATATGGAATGGATGATTGATGGAAATATGGAATTCAAATACTTTTAAATTCCATAGAGTACTGCCAAAAGATATTGTTAAATATTTTAAAACTATTGATGTTAAGAAAACGGCAGATTTATGGGGGATTTCTGTTAGTTATTCTATAATAGATATAATAGCACCTTATTTAGCCACTATATTTAATACAAGCGTCAAATCTTGTGTGTTTCCTGATTTAATAAAACAAGTTAAAGTCATACCTTTATTTAAATCTGATAGTACATTAGACCCCGCCAATTTTAGACCAATTTCTGTACTACCAACATTAAGTAAAATTTTTGAAAAAATTATTTTAGATCAGATGTTAAGTTTCTTTAATATTAATAAATTGCTACATAGAAATCAATTCGGTTTTACAAGGGGTGGCTCGACAACTGATGCTGGAGTTGAGCTTATTAAACATATTTTTTGTGTATGGGAGAATTCAGAGGATGCTTTGGGTATATTTTGTGACCTTTCCAATGCCTTCGACTGTGTTCACCATGAGACATTAATCAGGAAACTACAGTACTATACATACAGTATATGTCAAGAACACAGTGCTTAAACTTATTATTTCATATTTAAGTAATTGAATGCAGAAAGTTATTATCAATGGTAAAAGTTCTTCTGGCTCACCTGTACTAATGGGTGTCCCTCAGGGCTCCATTCTCGGCCCATTCCTATTTCTAGTGTATATTAATGACTTGCCTTCTCGAGTAGAGAATAATCATGATATTGTATTATTTGCTGATGATACTTCCTTGAATTTTAATCTTAAATGTCAATCAATTAAATGTGACAAAGTGAATAATGCTATATCAAAATTAGTGCATTGGTTTAACGTTAATAAACTACATTTAAACGGAAATAAAACTAAATGTATTAATTTTACAACAACGAATGTTAAAAATCTGAGTACCAATGTGTTTTTAAATGGGGAAGAACTGAGCCCTGTTGAATCCACTGTTTTTCTTGGCATCACTCTCGACGCAAAGCTTCAGTGGGGTCCCCATATATCCAAACTAGCAAGTAGACTAAGTTCTACAGCCTATGCTGTAAAAAGATTAGAGGTCTCACTAGTGTCGAGACAGCTAGATTAGTTTATTTCAGTTATTTCCATAGCATAATGTCTTATGGAATTTTGCTATGGGGAAATGCAGCTGATTCAGAAACTATTTTTGCTTTACAGAAGAGGGCCATTAGAGCTATTTACAAGCTAAAACCGAGAGAGTCTCTTAGAGATAAATTTAAAGAAATAAATATATTAACCTTGGCCTCTCAGTATATTTAAGAAAATTTAATGTATGTTTACAAAAACATAGGTAGTTTTAGTAAAAATAGTGATGTACATTCTGTAAACACTACGAACAAACACAAGCTAGTGATACCAGTTTCTCGACTCCACAGAGTCAATAATTCATTCTTGGGGCAATGTATACGCTATTACAACAAGATCCCGGAAAGTGTACAGGCTCTCTCTCTATTAGCAAGTTTAAATGTTTTGTTAAGTTGAAACTGTATAAAAAGGGTTATTATAGTATAAATGAATACATGTTTCTAAAATAAATTTTGTACTTATATAGTTTGTACAACCATTAATATAAAATTTGCTTTAAAAAAAAAGTCCCGCTGGGTTTCTTGCTGGTTCTTCTCAGGACAGAGGTTTTTTTTTTTTCGAACCAGTGGTAAAGTAAAAAATTACTTTCAATAAGAATAACACATGTGATCTATATTGAATAAAAAATTATTCTATTCTATTAATTATTTTTAGTTTTTACTTTATTTCCTTCAAACTTAATATTATTTAAATTCTACCATTCTCACTCAAGCTTCGTAAAGAGATTCTAGACTTGCACATGGACAATATGGTGAGCTGAAGTATTATCACCTTATCATTTTTCAAACACGATGGTATAGCAAAAGTAGGCAAATCTTAGAGTTGCCACAATTTTAAGTTATAATAATTGAGTAACAAAGTGTAGTGCGTCAGAGATATACTGAATGTACAAACCTATGCAATTGAAGAAATGCAGAATAACAGCGGTGTGTGAGACAGTTGCTTATTTCTCCATGTAATAAAAAAGGCAAATGTACTGTCCCACTAAGCATTCGTTTTACTACTACAACTGCTACTACTGTACTATTTAGGCTAAATTTCAAATATTTATACTGTATGTACAGTAATTATTTTGTCAAATACTTTTAGAAATCATTGCCTGTAACAGATAGATAAACACCAAAGTGACAGAAGATCCATTTTTCAGAACACTAAAACTTTCTTGAATTTGTTTAAACAAGTCATTATATTTTATTTTTTGACTAACTATTCAAAATTTAAGTGATAGCATGTTTAAGAGATTGCTTTGTTGTGACTACTGCATACTTAAATCAATATTAAAAAGTCTTAAAAAAATGTTAACTAACTTTTATGTTATTATTATTATTACTTCATTTGTAAGATTATGTAAACGTAAACGTCAATTTTTTATATGTGGTAGAGCCATGCAGCAGCTATATTAGTAGTATAGTTGTAGCACAAATGGGTCGGCTCAACTGGAGAAGGACCACGCTCTCACAGAATACCAGCGTAAAATGGTAGCTTAACACTGCTGTGCTTCGTTTGGTGAGTGTAGAGAACCGGAGACCCTTTTTACTGGAAAAGAGGCATTCCATCTTAGTCCTCACGGGTGACAACGCATCTGCATTTTGATTCGCAAACGAGGATAAATGTAGATGTGTATGGGCCACAGCAACCACTTACCATCAGGTGGACTGTGTGCTCGCTTGTCACCCTATCCTATAAAAAAAAAACAAATTAACATAAATTTATAATGGTTGATAATAAAGAAAAAATATGTATTCCTGCACAAATCTTTGTGTTTATCCACAATTTTACCCCTACTATGTTGGCTTGTTCTTTACATAATATTTTCATAGAGTTTTTGTATTAAGCAAGCATTATTTGTTTTTACAGCTCAAACAAATTTGAGGTTCAGTTATCAAGAGACGCATCAGCTCAGCTTAAAAGATTTTTACAGGAACAAAAGAGCTCCACGGTAATAATAAACATTATAAATAACCATATTCAGATAGATGTACATGATGGTCCTGGGAGAACACAAGCCCAAGTCCGAGCCACTGCTGGCGGTCTCCTTGGAGAGGCTACAAAAAATGGTAATGAAACTATTTAAAAAGGAGATATCTTTTATATAATATTCAGTAGGCTTATTAAATTTTATATAATTTTCATTATTAATGATGATGTATTTTTTATACATTAGAAAATCGCACAAAAGTGTATTATGGTCTACTGAAAGAACCAGATATTCAAGTTCTACCGTTGCCGGTAGAAGATGAAGAAGAAACTGAGGAAACACCTGACAAGCCTAAAAAGAAAAAGGCAAAAAAGGATAACATTTTCATGAAAAAACCAAAATCTGATCCTAATGCTCCACCAAATGACCGGATTCCTCTGCCAGAGCTGTAAGCAAATTAATATATATTATTCTGATTAATCACCACACACAACATACCATGAACAGAAATATAATATCAATAAAATGGAATGTGCTGCAAACCTTACATGCGGCGTTTTTTTTTTTCCAGAAAAGAAACTGATAAAATAGAGAAAGTTAAGGCATTAAGAGCTAAGCGTGTACAATTGGGTCCTGATTGCTTACCATCTATTTGCTTTTATACTCTTTTGAACAGTGGTAACACCGCCATTTGTGCCGATATTTGTGATGACTCCACTTTGCTGTCTGTGGGTTTTAATAATTCGACTATAAAGGTAACATCGTATTTTAATGTTAATTAATTTAAAAGAGTGTGTCAAGTTCTTATATTTATGAAACTAAATTAAGATTGACTTTAATAAACATGTATTACCATGGATTATAATCAATAGCACACTGTCAATATGAAACTACATCTCAGTCTTTCAATTGAATTTCAACAATTATTTAACAAAATCAAAAGCAACATTTTAATGACCTTACAATATTCATTACAAAGTCATTGAATTCTACTACTCGTCTTTTTTTACTCAAGCAAATTGTAAATGCCTGTCAAAAGAGTTTGCCTTTCATAAATTATTATAGGATCATACATACCAATTATTGTAAAATATTTCAAAACTATTAATATTAAATAAACTGCAGATTTATAGGAGATTTCTGTTAAAGTTGTTGTGTCTATAATAAATGCAATGGCACCCCTATTTGCTATTATTTTTAAAAGTTGTATCATCTCTTGTGTTATATTGTTGAACCCCACTACTACTTGTAGCTTTTTTTGTAACACTTAGTAAACTTTTTGAAAAAGTATTTTAGTGTTAATAAATTAATCTATAAAATTAGTTTGGATTTACAAGAGGTCACTCTACAACTGATGCCGGATAAACTTGATATTTTCTGTGCATAAGTAAACTTAAAAGATGCCTTAGGAATATTTTCTGACCTTTCCAAGGCCTTCATATTGTGTTCACAAAGAGACATTTATTATTTTTCTTTTCTTATTGGATAAGGTAAGGGATAGCCATGATATATTTTTATTTGCTGATGATACTTCCATTAATTTTCAGACTTAAATGGCAATTATTTGCAATACGAGGAAATAAATAATGCTATATACTACTAGATAGCAAACTTAATACTGCAAAAATGCTTTTATTTTAGTCAAGTATTTCCAAAATCCAAATTAAATAAGTAAATATATTAACTTTGACCTCTCAGTATCTATACAAATAAATAAAATTGAAGTGTCTGTTTGTAATGTCAAAATAACAGCTTTTTACTAAATACATATGAAAGTTATATACTTTATCGTCGGTACTTATAACAAAAATACAATTTTTAAAATTTTTGACTGTCTGCCTATCTGTCTGTTTGATCCGGCTAATCTCCGAAACGGCTGGACCAATTTCGACGGGACTTTCACTGGCAGATAGCTGAAGTTATAAGGAGTAACTTAGGCTACTTATATTTTAGGGTTCCGCGCAACATAATTAAAACCCTAAATTACACGCGGGCGAAGTCGCTGGGAACAGCTAGTATTATATACAAAAATTTAATATATGTACCAAGATGAAAGATAGTTGTATTAAACATAGTTACATACATTTTGTAAATACTAGGAACAAAGGAACAAAGGAAGCTCAATTCTTCAAAGAATTAGTAATTCCCTCACAGGGCAATGAATAACTTTTACAACAAAGTACCAGAAAATAATTTCAATTTTTAATTTAATTGAGATCGCTACCATGCTGTTTCTAAATATGTTTATATTAAGTTGTAATTTAATATTTAAAAAAGTCTTTTTGTATTTCTTTATGGTTCCTCCCAGGGCAGACGGTTTTTTGCCGAATCAGTAAAAGCATAAACAACTGTTGTAAATTCTATAATAAATAAAATTCTTCTATTATAAATATATATTTATGTATTTTCAGGTGTGGACACTTACACCTGTTAGATTACGTGGTATGAAATCCGCGGAAAAATTGCAAGACATCGACAGAGAGGCAGGTTAGTAACCTAATGTGTACTCCTTTTTAAAAGGCCGGCAACGCATCTGCAATTCCCTCCCTAGTGTTGCAGTTGTTCATGGGCGGCGGTAGTCACTTGTACCATCAGGTGAGCCGCACGCTCGTTTGCCCCCTATTAAAAAATGCTCTCCTATTAAAAAAAATGTGTGGTTTAGATAATATTTTAAATAGTTTTATGGTTTTTTACAGAAAAGTTAATGTATAATAATATAACTTACCCTGTATTTTATTTTATAGGGGATGTTTTAGTTAGAATGATGGAAGAAAAGGATAGAGACACATGCCGTACACTTTATGGTCATTCTGGACCTGTATACAAAGTTGGATTTGACCAGTTTAAAACAATGCTTTTATCATGCTCAGAGGATTCCACAAGTATGTATGGATTCATGAAATATACGTTTAAGTATATAGGTTAACGGTATATTTTACAAATAATATTTTCTACATTTTCAGTAAGACTTTGGTCGTTGCAATGCTGGACCTGTCTAGTTGTATACCGAGGACATGTGTGGCCAGTTTGGGATGTGAAATGGTCACCTCATGGCCACTACTTTGCTTCTAGTGGTCATGACCGCACAGCAAGACTTTGGGCAACTGACCATCATCAGCCACTTAGAATATTTGCTGGACATCTTTCAGATGTTGATGTAATATTTTACATTTTGTTCATATACAAGTAACTGTATTATAATTTATTTACTTGCAATTAATTTCAAATAGAGAAAGCTATTAATTAGTACATTATCTTTATTTCGCAGTTGTATGTACATAAAATAGAATTTTAATTATAAGAACTGTTTAATTAAAAGTTTCACATTCACCATCCAATTATCATATACAATAGTATGACAGTAACTGTAAGCTATATGAGGTACATGAGGCAGGTAATGGTTTAACATTTAATATTATCTGGCTTAAATAAAATATGTTATTATGTTACAGTGTGTCCAATTTCATCCTAATTCCAATTACATAGCAACAGGTTCTTGTGACAGAACCGTTCGAGTATGGGATTGTCTGACAGGGACTCAAGTTAGAATCATGACTGGACATAAGGTAAACAATTTAATAAAATATTATTAATATTAAAAATCAGAGATAATTGTGAATTTAACTTGTATCAATATTTATAAACTATATCTCAAATTATTACCCAAAGTTAAATTAATGCAATTAACTCATTACAAACAAATTGATATTGTGTATATATTTGCATGGACCATTTCTAGCTGCTTTTGACATCTCCATAACTCAAAAACTATAAGAGCAGTGCACTCGTAACTTTGCAAGTCCAAAATGCCTAAAATCTCTAATTTCATGTGTAACACTTTTTAAGCGACTTCAAAAATGAGGAGATTCTCAATTCGAGTGTATGATTTTTTTGTTGTATGTTACGCGCTATCTTCGCAGATTCTGATGTAATATAAGGGTGTTCCCAGATAAATTTGGAGAAAATTTTTCACCTTTAAGGACAGCAAATGAATAATTTCTATTTTAACAATTTGAAGTTGGTTTTTACTTTTTGTTAAAAGTATAACTTAACTTAATATAGTATTTAAAATTATTATAGTTCTTGAGTTATTAAGGTCTGGAAGTGCCATTATTACTTACTCATTAACTGATTCACGCGCGACTTACGTTTGTCTGGTGTGGTTTGGGATGACGTCATTCGGTTCTTTTGTGTTCTTCATTCCTAACGTTAGGCTTGCTATTAGAACAACGTGAGGTATTGTTCCGTCCGGAAATATTATTAACGTGTGCGCAGCGTAAAATGTGTATGGAAGAAAAGTTAATGCATTCGGGTGACCAAATACAGAAAATGTATTTATTCTATCTAATATATGTATATATATTAGTATTTGTTTGTTCGTATTTTCTGCGCTGCATACCTTTCATCAGATTGCGGTAGAACTTTGTCAACTTATAGCTTGCACTTACGACAAGGTATGGTACCGACAAAGGAGACTATTTCTGTTTGTATGGAGAATAAGCAAACCACAAATTAACGGGAATACTGAAAAATTAACAATTAAAACATGAATATCACAATAACCTAAAAAAATAAAAAACAATTGTCTAGTAGTTTTCGTCGATATTATAAGTTAAAATAGTGTACTGGTCAATAATTAATAGTATAAAACAAAGGTGTAGGTATATTCAGCATTCACAGGTCACTTTTATAATGATGGAAAATACTTTTAGTACCTAGTTCGTTCTTCGTTACACGCATTTTTTTTCAGATTTCATGATTCCGGTTAGATTTTGACAAAACCTTTTAGGCCGTTTACTATAATAAATTGGTATTTTTTATGTGTAATACAATTAAGTTACGTTAAAATTTCTAGTGGGCCCAAAAACGATTGTCTCCTTTATATGAAAGATATATACTACGATTAATGTATTATGATTCCTGATTAAGCAATATAACTCTTCCAAATTTATAACGATATATCCACAATTATTTCTTCTGCGGCTGCACCGCACCGGCACCAGCTATTTTTTTTTTTTATAAAATTGAAGTGAGTAGAAAACTTCAGTTCACCCGATGATAAGCGGCCTGCAACCGACCTCAAATAAAGGTTTCAGATGCGTAGTCATCACTGAGGACCAAGATGGAATGCTTCACAGCCTGTAACTAATCGCTCTCTATACCCATCAGACTGGAACACAAAAGTACAGGCACTGCTTTTTGCGGCAGAATTAGTTAAGAGGATGGTACATACCTAAACGAACTCGTATAGTCCTGCCGTGTAGTAACATCTGAAAGCTAATCAGGAAACGTGATGTTTGCGCCCGGTCCAACTTAACGTCGAGGAATACCTACCGAAAGGTAAATGGTAAATTTAAAAATTTTGTACCACCGTCTTCAATATAAATAAAATGAGAATATCATAAATATAGTCGAAGTCAATTAAATATACATGATTAAAAAACTACTGGTCAGATCTTGATTAAATTTATATGGGACCACATGAGGGAGCACCAGTATTCAAATAAAAAAAAGAATCATCAAAATCGGTACACTTATAAAAAAGTTCTGAGGTACTTTTTTCTGAGTACCTCCTCCTTACTTTCATGTCGGTTAAAAATGTACACTCTCTCGCTCCTTTTAACTTTTATTCGTATGCGCTCGCAACCTACGCCATTTACTATCGCCATTTATTTATGGGGCAAGGCTTATGTTCAGCAATTAACTTTTGAGAGGCTGTAATTGATGAAAGAATGAATGTGCCTTAGTATCAATGGTTTTTTTGGGTTATCCGAAAAAATGTTCTTTTTACAATGGTATTAAATAAATAACTTTGAGGATAGCTTTTTTTTTCAGTTACATAACAGACTATTATTTTCCATCCGGTAGAAAAGCCACCGGTTTATATATTGCTTGCCACTGGCAACACGCACTGGTTGTACAGTCTCGTTTTCAAGTTTTGAGGTATACCTGACGAGAAGATGTGCCGTAATTTCCCGAACGCTGCCCAGCCGAGTTGAATCCGTCGACTGACCTCTCGGTCGAAGTTGGACTTACCTAGTCGGACTATTTGTCCCAGATAAACATACTCGTCAAGAACTTCGAGCTTAGTGCTCCTAACAAGTATCGGCATAGGTGTGACATGGACGTTATACATGAGTTTTGTTTTGTCCATGTTCATCTTAAGACCTATCCCTTGGGATACACTATTGAGGTCATTGGGCATAGTGCTTAGGTCCTCCAGCGATTCTGCCATAAGGACTATATCGTCGGCAAATCGAAGGTGAGTGATTTACTCGCCATTGATGTTAATACCGTATCCCTTCCAGTCCAGAAGCTTGTAAACGTCTTCCAACGCAGCGGTGAAGAGTTTCGGGGATATAATGTCGCCCTGTCTTACACCTCTCTGCAGTTGGATAGGTTGTGCACTCTGGTTCTGTACTCGGTCGGATAGCCATCGTATCCCTACTGTACAAACACTTCAACACTTCGATATACTGACAGTCAACTTGTCACCGCTGAAGGGACTGCAGCACCACCCAAATTTCGGCGGAATCAAAGGCTTTTTCCTATTCCATATACGCAAGACATAATGGCAAATTGTAGTCCTCGGTCTTCTGTACAATTTGCCGAAGGGTATGTTTGTGGTCTATAGTACTAAAGCCTTTTCGGAAACTGGTTTATTCGGGAGGCTGGTAGTCGTCGAGTCTGCGTGCGAGACGATTCGTAATGACTCTCGAAAATAGCACATGACGCGACCCAGAAGGGAAATCGGTCTGTAGTTTTTCAAAAGAGCGTTGTCGCCTTTCTTGAAGAACAAGACCACCGCACTTCTGCTCCACGCTTTCGGTGTAGTACCACCATGGAGGACGGAATTAAAGAGCTTTTGAAGGACTTCAAGTACCGGTTTTCAGAAGCTCCGCTGTAATTCCATCCTCGCCTGGGGCTTAATCTCGTTCAGACTGACGTCCAGAATAGAGTCGGATAAGACTTGCTCTTAGATCGTTACTCACACTAGCATGTGGCTACAACGATGATGTGTATAGCTGCCCATAAAACCTCTCAATCTCACTCAAAATCTCAGGTGTCTCGGAAACGACGCTGCCACACTCGGTCTTCAGCTTCGACAGTTGGCGATTTCTGGCAGACAGATCTCTGGCAAAGACTGGAGCCCTGGTTCCGCTCGATCGCTTCTTCAATACGAGCTGTATTGAAGTTGCGTAATTCTCGCCGCATGCATTTGGAGATCTCTCTGTTCAGTTGCCTTTATACTGTCAATCTACTGAAGACTGTAGCTTCATTTCCCGTCAAACAGCCACGAGATTAAGAGTGTGATCGGAGAGTTTTTGTGTTCTTCGGCGGGTCTTGCAGAACTTAGCTCCGATCGCATGGACAGTTTCCACGAGCTTGTCATTCATATCGTCCACTGCATTGCAATATTCTAGGCACTGAAAACGGTTTTGTAGCTCGAGCTAAAAGGTTTCGGGACTTTGGATTAGAGCGTGAGGGAGACGGAGCGTTGACATCATTAGACGTGACCTCTCCAACTCAACGTTTAGTTTCAGTGTGCCTCTCATCATTCGATGATCGCTGCCGGGTTTCACCCCCGCGATCACTGAGACATCACTGAACAGTTGTCGTCTAGTCGTCATAATGAAGTCCATCTAATTTTTTTCTAACCGTCGGGGCTCGACCAGGTCAACTTCCTGTGAGGCCGCTTCTGAAAGTAAGAGTTCATCATAAAGAGTCCCTGTTTCTCCTTGAAGTCGGCCAGCGGCTTAGATTCCATTCCCCTATTACAAATTTCCCTACCTTCAGCTCACCGATCTCTCTTGTGCTTAGTTTTGCGTTAAAGTCTCCCATTAACATCGAACAGTGGGTTTTGGAGGAATGCATGACTCTAGATATATCCTCATACATTTCCTCTACCTCCACATCGGGATGTTCCGAAGTTGGCGCTTAAATCTGTATGGCCTTCAGCAACAGCAACCATTTGGTAATTCTGAGTATAAAGTAGAGATGTTCGATGATCATCGATGTTTTAACATCGATGTTGACATTGTCAAAATCGAAACATCGATGTCAATGAACCCATAATCGATTATTGAGAACTTCCGAACAATGCGAACCCGCGAAAGCAATATCATCAAAATCTTGCATCTCCTCTGAAGATTTAAAATTTTAAATAATTCAGAAGTTCTGGACGCATCGCTAACCTAAAAAAATATCATTAAGGTGTGTCAAACTTAATTGTTAAGTGCCACCTATAATGTCACAATGGTCACTGCTTTCGCTTTATATTGTAGTATCTTTGTCGGTTGTCGCATAATAACTATTCTACGTAAATTGATATTCAAATTAATTGTTACTTTTCCCTTGCTGTGTATACCCTCATAATTACATAATTTTGAAACAATATGTAAGTAACTATCTACACATATACAGAAAACATCGATAATGGTCAACTTAACATCGAACATCGATGTTGAGCTATCGATGCCAACATCGATGTCATCATCGATGTTTCTGCAACATCGATCATCCCTAGTATACGGTACGCAACCCTCGTCGACAGACTCAATCTTTACAACGTTGTTAACGAGAGACTTGTGGACGAGAAATCTGACACCTCCTTGTTACAGATGGTCGCCCTCCCTATAGAGAAAAAACAAGTTGCGGGATTCGAGGATTACCATGTCCTCCCCCTCTCTTCGGACCTCAGATAATTCTAAATATTGCAGCGCAACTTGTCTATCTTTCCTTCCAACTCCATGATCTTCTCGTAAGTCCTTAGGGTGCATGCGTTATATGTTGCCAAGTCGAGTCGTCTTAGGTGGCAACCGAACCTCCACCGGAGTTTCTTAGCACCCCCAGCCCCGCCGTTACCATGGTCACGGTGGTCGTTACCATGGTCGCCACCGTAGCCAGGAATATCGAGGCCGCCGGGAACCATCTCTTCGTAATTTTAATCATGGGGGTATATTGCCATAGTTGCCACACTTGGCGTGCGGGTTGCAACCACAGTTTTTTTTTATTGTCTCAGTTTCCCTCTGTCACCTTTTACAACACCCATGGTAAGATATGGGATAGTGGGTATTCTTACCAGCCACTACACAGGAAATCATATTCATTTTTTCATTTTTTTTCTTTTAAAAAACGTTACCCACACACTAAGATTTTCTCCTGTGTCGTGGAGGCAGTTTCCAAACATAAATTGCACAAGGACAAACATCCATACCCGGAACAATTATTTGTAGGCCATACAAATACTTGTTCCGTGCGGGGTTCGAACCCGCGGCCCCCAGCGGAATAAATGATTGCTAAGCCACTGCGCCACGGAGCCGTCATGTATTATATCAGTACCTACGTATATTCAAAGGAACAGTTCTTATCAGTCTTCCTCATCATCATTATTATAGCTTACAACCCTTCACAAGTTCACTGCTGAACTAAGTCCTCCTGCAAGGAATACCACACAACACGGTCCTAAGCCACCGTCATCCACCAACTTCCTGCTAGTGGGGGGCCGCCCTACATTTTTCTTACCGATACGGGTCTGCCACTTGAGAACCTTCCTTCACCTTCGGATGTCAGTTCCTCGAGCTATGTGGTCGGCCCATTTCCACTTCAGCTTATACATTGAGCTAATACAGTTACTCTGGTTCTACTAGGGATATCTTTTTTATTACGAATTCTATCACACGAAGAAACTGCGAGCATAGTTTATTATATTAATTGTCATAACGATTATTTTTTCAGTCCGCCATATTTACGCTTGCCTTTTCCGTGTGTGGAAGATGGCTTGTATCGGGAGGCAGCATGGGTGACATATTGGTTTGGGATATATCCAATGGTGGTCTTACAGCAGCACTACCACCTTCTCACACTTCCCCTATACATGCCTTAGCATTTAGCCGTGATGGAACTATTTTGTCTTCAGGTAAATACCGATATTAATAATTTGCTTTGACTTTACATTACATAGAGTAACAAAACTGCCATACACAGTTATGACAGAAAAAAATATCTTACTTAAGCAACACTGAAATTCTGAGTAACTTAATAAATTAAAAAGTTATGAATGCAATTTGGGCACATTTTGAAAGCTTCAGCATATAATAATAACAATGTTAAATGTGTAGTAGCTTTATAACAATCCCTTGACTTGATAACTTCTGAAGAAAAGCTGATGTTGCTTTTATGTATTATGTTAACTTGACTATCCAGAAATAATGAATTGAATTAAATAGAAAAATACAACTGTGTTTAATATTCAGAAAATATTTAACATTTAGTTTATTCTTTCATTAGGTACTAATAATATTTTTTCCTTGCAAATGATTTTGATAGATAAGTGGTAAAATAGAAAAAATATGGTGTTTAATTAGTATAATTTGGATTTGGTAGCTAACATAAACATCATTAAAAACGTCTGATCTGTCTCCATGTGTGTCGACTTGCCATTTCACCGGTTATGAGAGTGATGAATTAGAGAATGCATCTGTGCTTGCACACACACGCCGAATTAAAATATCAATATAATACAGTCAAATATTTTTAAAAATTAATTTTAAAACCGTTACATAACCTATGGTGGTAATAAAACCATTCGTGTAATTTGACGCTAGCGCCACCTAGTTATACCTAGTCAGGTCATAAGTATTGTCACACAGTAAAAACTTTTCTTTTAGAATGCTGGCCACAAAAAAGTTTATTGAATTCGAATTTCGAATTATTCATAAAAATAAAACTGTATACTTTTTAGAATTTTACTCATTTTTAAATATGGAGTGGACGCTTAAAGAAGACCGTGTTGCTGTTATTGCGTTGCATCGTTGCGGTTACGCGCCAATTCAAAGAGCAATGGCAGAAAAATAGTTGACAAAAATTATAGCGTCTAGAAATAAGTTATATATAAAATGAGTTTTATTATTTTTCACACAGAAAAAAACAAACATTTTTGGGAATATCACACGGCTTAAATCATTTTATTCTATTCAAATGTTGCCATTTATTATATTTATACTATTTTCGTATACACTTTGTAAGACTACCAACACAACACAAAATATTTTTATATTAAGTTATTATTAGTAATAACTGTACTATCAGTAATAATAAAACTAAAAGTGATATGGCTGAAAACAAGTCTCTTACAAAGAATTTCCTACAATAATAAATTATCTCAATCATAGTACTATGTAACAATTCCATTTAATGTTATGCCAACACTAGCTAAAATAAAATGTCACTGTTTTTTATACTGGCTTTACGCCTCTGGGTTCTAGCCCTTCTGAGAATGTTACTATTATACAAAAGACCTGGAGCTATGCCAGAAACCTACATTTATAGTATGCAAATATATAATAGCGACACAATAATCTAAAAACTCTCAATTATGTATTATGTATTAAGCTAACATCAAACAACCACAGGAAGCATGACTTTTTCCAAGTGACATAGGACATAACCTAAAAAGTTCAAATGCAAATATCTTTTTTTTTGACGCCTTCTCAGTACAAAATTCTTTGACAGAGTTATTAAGGGACTGAGGCTTAACATTTTAAGATATTTTTGGTATATAGACGCTACTATTTCTTCTCAACTAATTTTATGTATGAAAGTCTGCCATTGTTCTTTTTGACATACTGAAAAATTTGAATATAACCAAAAGATTCGTTTATCGTACCATCAAACGATACAATGAAGACTCTAGTGTAGATGACAGGTCAAGAAGTGGTCGCCCTCGGTCTGTTAGGACTCCAGCAGTGATAAAAGCTGTGAAGGCGCGACTTCAAAGAAATCCCAAACGTAAACAGAAACTGTTGGCCATTCAGATGGGGTTAAGCAGAACCACGGTGAAAAGGGTATTAAATGAAGACTTAGGGCTTCGGGCATATCGAAGAAAAACAGGACATCGTTTGAATGCTCGTCTAATGGACCTGAGACTGAAGAGATGCCGCGCTTTGTTGAAGCGGTACGCGGGAAAAAAATATCGGGAAATTCTTTTTTCGGATGAAAAAATTTTTACCGTAGAAGATAGCTACAACAAACAAAATGATAAGGTGTACGCACACAGTAGTGAAGAAGCGAGCAACCGTATTCCGCGTGTCCAACGAGGTCATTTTCCATCCTCGCTCATGGTATGGTTGGGAGTTTCTTATTGGGGCTTAACAGAGGTACATTTTTGTGAGAAAGGTGTAAAAACGAAAGCAGTTGTGTATCAAAATACAGTCCTGACGAACCTTGTGGAACCTGTTTCTCATACCATGTTCAGTAACAGGCACTGGGTATTCCAACAAGATTCGGCGCCAGCTCATAGAGCGAAGAGCACACAAGACTGGCTGGCGGCGCGTGAAATCGACTTCATCCGGCACGAAGACTGGCCCTCCTCCAGTCCAGATTTGAATTCTTTAGATTACAAGATATGGCAACACTTGGAGGAAAAGGCGTGCTCAAAGCCTCATCCCAATTTGGAGTCACTCAAGACATCCTTGATTAAGGCAGCCGCCGATATTGACATGGACCTCGTTCGTGCTGCGATAGACAACTGGCCGCGCAGATTGAAGGCCTGTATTCAAAATCACGGAGGTCATTTTGAATAAACTTTAGTGTCATAAGAATATATGTTTTGTTAAGTTCATTTTGGTATATAAATGGTTACATAATGAATAAACTTGTTTCAATTATTTTATATTAAACATGTAACAGAATTTATGACCTGACTAGGTATATTGCAATAATAGTAACCTAAACACAATGATAAAACTGACAACTGCAGACAACTTTCTTGTTTAATGTAAAATAAAAAATTTGTAAGATAAAAAACCATATTCCATGCAAACTTTGTAGCCCTAAGATTTTCAGAAAAAAATCATATTTCATTATATTAATCCAAAAATGCAAAACTAGGCACAAGAGAGAACGGTGAGCTGAAAGTGGGGAAATTTGGAATAGGGCAACGGAACTCAAGGGGCCAGCAGCTGGCCGACTTCATGGAGAAAGAGGGACTCTTTATGATGAACTCTTTCTTCCAGAAACGGCCCCACAGGAAGTGGACCTGGTCGAGCCCCGACGGTTGGACAAAAAATGAGATTGACTTCATTATGACGACCAGACGACAACTGTTCAGTGATGTCTCAGTGATCGCGAGGGTGAAAACCGGCAGCGATCACCTAAGCACACTGAACCTAAACGTTAAGTTGGAGAGGTCTCGTCTAATGAAGTCAACGCTCCGTCCCCCTCGTGCTCTAATCCAAAGTCCCGAAACCTTTCAGCTCGAGTTACAAAACCGTTTTCAGTGCCTAGAAGACTACAATAAAGTGGACGATTTGAATGACAAGCTCGTGGAAACTATCCATGCGGTCGGAGCTAAGTTCTGCAAGACGCGCCGCAGAAGAACACAAAAACTCTCCGATCACACTCTTAATCTCATGGCTGTTAGACGGGAGATGAAGCTACATTCTTCAACAGATTTGACAGCATACAGGCAACTGAACAGACAGATCTCCAAATGCATGCGGTGGGACTTACGCAACTTCAATACAGCTCGTATTGAAGAAGCGATCGAGCGGAACCAAGGCTCCAAAGTCTTTGCCAGAGATCTGTCTGCCAGAAAGAGCCAACTGTCAAAGCTGAAGACCGAATGTGGCAGCATCGTTTCCGGGGCACCTGAGATTTTGAGTGAGATTGAGAGGTTCTATGGGCAACTGTACACGTCATCGTTGGAGCCCCACGCAAGTGTTAGTAACGATCCAAGAGCGAGTCTTATCCGACATTATTCCGATGATATCCCGGACGTCAGTCTGAGCGAGATTAGAATGGCTCTCCAGCACCTTAAAAACGGCAAAGCCCTAGGCGAGGATAGAATTACAGCGGAGCTTCTGAAAGCGGGTGGAAAACCGGTACTTGAAGTCCTTCAGAAGCTCTTTAATTCCGTCCTCCATGGTGGCTTACACCGGAGGCGTGGAGCAGAAGTGCGGTGGTCTTGTTCTTCAAGAAAGGCGACAACGCTCTCTTGAAGAACTACAGACTGATTTCCCTTCTGAGCCGCGTCTACGTGCTGTTTTCGAGAGTCATTACGAATCGTCTCGCGCGCAGTCTTGACGACTTCCTGCCTCCCGAACAAGCCGGTTTCCGAAAAGGCTTTAGCACCATAGACCACATACATACCCTTCGGCAAATTGTACAGTAGTCCGAGGAGTACAATTTGCCACTATGCCTGGCGTATGTTGACTATGAGAAAGCCTTTGATTCCGTCGAAATTTGGGCGGTGCTGCAGTCCCTTCAGCGATGCCAAGTTGACTGTCGGTATATCGAAGTGTTGAAGTGCTTGTACAGTAGGCCTACGATGGCTATCCGAGTACAGAACCAGAGTACGAAACCTATCCAATTGCAGAGAGGTGTAAGACAGGGTGACGTCATATCCCCGAAACTCTTTACCGCTGCATTGGAAGATGTTTTCAAGCTTCTGGACTGGAAAGGATACGGTATCAACATCAATGGCGAGTACATCACTCACCTTCGATTTGCCTACGATATAGTCCTTATGGCAGAATCGCTGGAGGACCTAAGCACTATGCTCAATGACCACAATAGTGTTTCCCAACGGATAGGTCTTAAGATGAACATGGACAAAACAAAGATCATGTTTAATGTCCATGTCACACCTATGCCGGTAGTTGTTGGGAACACTAAGCTCGAAGTTGTTGACGAGTATGTTTACCTGGGACAGATAGTCCGACTAGGTAAGTCCAACTTCGACCGAGAGGTCAACTCGGTTGGGCAGCGTTCGGGAAATTACGGCACATCTTCTCATCAGGTATACCTCAAAACTTGAAAACGAGACTGTACACCCAGTGCGTGTTGCCAGTGATGACATACGGAACTGAGACGTGGTCCTTCACTGCTGGCCGGATGAGGAAGCTCAAGGTCGCTCAG